GTCAGACTGTGCTTTTCCGTAACTAAAATAATCCAGGAGGTAAGACATTATCAATCATTCATTATCTGTAAGTCATGCGTTTCCAAGAAGTCTGTGAAAAATGAACTAAAGGTCCAGACGATTTGGGCGGATGATTTTGGTATCGAAGAAATGTCCCGTATGATACCGCCGTCAATTTCACAAAATCGCACCCTTTTTCAAAATGCTCTTCCCCCACTTTACTGACGATAGCATCTTGGTGGATTCGTACGCTTTCATTCTAAGTAACTGACAGCAGGCAGTCTTCAAATGAAGAAACAAACAACTCAATATCACAAAAAGAATTCTCTTCCTTGTCGGTGACATCAGCTATGACAATTCCAACAAAGAAGGGTCCCCCTGTTCGGGTATCCACGTATGTGGTCGCGCTTGACGACCACAACACTGTTGGCCTCAAATAAAATGGCTCCTGTGACAGCTTCCTGCTCAATCTCTGTGACCACTGTTTCTCTAGCTGTGAGGTCGTCTGTGGTGGAAAAATCTAATGGTCTTGGAGGCTGATCTGGTGTTGTGTATGCGAACAATGGAAGTGTACCTACATTGTCCTTGGTACTTTGATTTCGAATGGTCAGTTGACGGACCGGTTTACCAAAGCTGTCCCTCCAGTCTCTCATCAACCTCTGGTCATCTTTTTCCATTTCTACTGACGACGGAACTGACAAAGAAGGCAGGTCTCGAAACCGGAGTTTCATCTCATCCGGTACTTCATAATAAGAGTGTGGGGAAGTGTAGTAGACAAAGCCAATGTCAGTGAGTTGTTTCAATGACTCGCGAATGGTGGGCGTAAAGAGATATGCAAACTCCAAGGCAGTTGGGATGTCATTTCTGGAGGGCATTTGGCTGAAAAAGGTTCTCCACAACAAGTCTGAAAGTGGCGACCAGTTTGAGAAAGCTGGTCGCTCTCTTCTTTCTAACTTGTCTTGCTTTTCTCGCTATTTCTTTCCCTTTTTGTGTGTGTTTTTTTTGTGTGTTTTCCTATGCCGTTGATGCCGTCAACGGCACTCCGACGACTCGCTAATGACTCTGATAGTGCTGTATCTCAATAACTCGCTTACCATTTGGAACACCGAGATGAACGCGACCGATAAAGAAAAAAAATCTCTCTACCAGATTGATGGAGCGCGCACGTGGGTCATGCAAGGAGGAGAGCATGATACGCAAAGCGGCAAAGTCCTCAAAGGGAGTGAAGCACTGAACACGTCAATCAAATCAAATGAACAATCAAAACAGCAGTAAAATGAGACGTATTTCTGTTTGCCTTTATTGGACTCTTATTAGCCGTTATTGGCCATTATTGATCATTATTCAGTATTACTACCGAATATTGTACGCGCAAATGTTCTGCAGGACATTCACAATTCTTTCGATTCTCAAATTCGCTGTCGGACAGTCTTGACATTGGTGTCGCTTTCGCTAATTCGTTGCAATAGTCTGTCGGTCGTCGCCAGTTCGTGGCTCTCATGTCGCCGGTTCAAGGCCGTGTCGCTTGTCGGAATTTACCCCTAACAGGGCCTCAGAAAAGTATCTTTGAACATGACTTAGAGTGAACTGATCTACCAAATTTTGCTCCACGTGGCAAGCCTTTTTAGACATCAAATAGACTATGTCACCCATATAACAAAGAAGGCTGGGAAATTAACCAAAGTTGATCGTGAGCTTAGCGAGGAAAAATGTATTTTGGTTTCTGCGGGTGACTTCAACTGTACTGGCGTGTGGTGAACAAAATGAAAGCGTCGGCAGAAAATTTCCGAAAATGAGAACATCCTTGGATAACATGACCCTCTATGCTGAATTTTGAAGCAAATTAGATCGCACAAAACCAAATCGATTCACTTTGAAAATAACACGTGTTCTCTTTGATAACAACTTGAGGTGAGGTATTTAAAATAATTTAATATGGTCTAAAATACACAAGGCGTAACGTAACCTATCTTTTTCTCAGAGAAAAGCCATAAGGAGCTCAGAACCCTTGGCTAACCAAGTGGCTGATCCCTGATTTTATTGTAATTATTTTTCTTTTAGCCCCAAGGAGGGTTTGTCTTAAAACCGAAACATCGGGCTAATTTGTTGAAATATATATTTTTATTTCTTTTATTTTACCGTCTCACCAACATAAAGAAAAAAAAAAAAGATTTTGCCTTTTGTTATTACGACTTTCAATCCTCGGCTACTACGAATTTCAAAAAGATTCTCATGAAACACTAGCACATTATTACGGGCAATAACACAAAACTGTGAAAGGTTTGAACCCAGGAGTAATTTCATAAGTAGGTTGAGTATGATCGTCCAGGTGAACACGCAGTCTTGAATAGGACTTTACTTGTTGGCAATAACACACTCGCGCAAATATATCCTAACGCCCCCTTATTGCTCATCGGAAGGAAAAATCTCTAAAAGATTCCCTTGTTAGAGCCAAAATTCCTTCACTTTAACAACAACATTAAAGGAGTTATACACGGTCAACCTCGTCCCCAGGGCTTTTCCCTTAAAAAATGGGTGGGGCCATTTTTTAAGCGAAAAGCCCTGGGGACGAGGTTGATACACGGTAAGGGGTGAGTGAAGATATTATTACACACTAGTCTGCTGTCTGAATTTATTGTTAACAACTTGTGGTGATATTGACTGAAAGGGCACTACGCTCTCTGTTCCACGGTAAATGCAAGATATAAAAGGGTGTCAAGAGCCATAATAGGACAGAGCTGTCCTATTATGGCTATTGGGGGTGTTTATAGTGCAGAGGGTATTCTTAAAATAGCATTTGTAATCCATCGAGTTGTATTTTTGCTGAACTTATTGCATGCTATGTTTTTAGGTAGAAGTTTGACTATTTCCTCTTTATTCTTCACAAAAGTGAGAAAAACGTCAATCTCCAGCTCTACCAAAAACAACTTAAAGGAAACCTCGTCCCCAAGGCTTCTTGGTTACCGTCCTTTTTTTGGCGGCACCTTGTGCAACTGGCGTCATGTTACGACATATCGCAAACGTCACCCATATTTGGTCAACCTAATTGGCTTAGTAATGAATTTGAAGCATTAGCCCGCAGAAATGAGCCAATCAGAAATGTCGTCAATGTTAAGAAAGGTTTTATCTAAGGCTGACTACGCTTTGCAACTTTTCTTGCAAAGTGTGTAAGAAAATTTCTTCGAGATGTTGCCCACCCGGCCCCTATATCCTATAAGAGCTTGAACAAGGATGATTGCACAAAAGAAGCTTTAAAGCATAATACCTTCCGGGTTTTCTAAGAAAGCAAAAACGTCACGTGTTTCGCTTTATTTACGTCGCTTCAATTATGCCTGACTTTATATAAATGCGCAACAAGTCACTAAGGCCACGAAAGCTTCCATAATGGTTTGCACCGCGATGTCCCAGTCACATTCTTGTATTTTTAGGAAGTTCCGAAGAGTAGAAGAGCCTTACCTAAGCCTGGCATGCATATGGCTAAAGGGCTATTTCTCAGAAAAACCGCAAGTTCTTTCAGTGTTACCGCGGTTTGATCCTAAGAAACCACAAACATTTTGATTGGCTGATTACGTGCAAACTTATTTTTCACGTGGCATGCAAAGTTAATGTTCTGTTTCAACCAATAACATTGTAGTCATAAGTCATTGGATCAGCCTAATATTCGTTGCTCCTGCTAAACACAGACCACTGTCCTTGCCGAAGTTCTTTCACTTGGCGACCATTATTTAACGCTTTATTCTAACGAAGCTAGTCTTTGCAGCCCGTTGCTCACGTAGACGGTATGTCTCAACCACCAAAGCCAGTTAGAGAAAATAATGAACTTTAAGGTTTCAAGGCCAAGGTCCGTGGTTACAATGGAGGAGAGCAATGGTGCCTACAAGTCACGGTAGCTATACTAAGAATCGCGGACCAGGCCAACCAGGGTACATTTGGTCAAACATCAAGAATGAGTTAGACGAAGTGGCCGGATTCTGTGGAATCTATGAGCTTCAGGCTAGAGGAACTCTTTCCCATAACCTACAGAGTGCAGTAGTTTTCGTTGGAAGCACTTGTCCGCGCCAAGCAGATGGTGGAGCATGCCACAGGTTGAAAAACAGGATCATCAACTACTGCAAATATGGAAACCATAAAGCAGGCCTAATAAACGACGCATTAAGCAGAGGATATGAGCTGTGGGTCCGTTATAAGCAAGCTAGGAGTGCAGAGGAAGCTCAAACCTGGGAAAATGCTCTGCTTAACAGATACGATTACGCTTGGAATGTAAGAAATAACGGCACCATAAGGGTTATCCTCCCATAGTGACACGGCCGCCTGATCGATGTGGTAAACGGAGACATCTAATATCCCGTGGACTGAATTCGCTATAGAGCAGAAAATTATTTATTTTTGTGCTAAAACAGTAGTACATGAAAAATGTTTTGGCTTAACTTGCGTATATAGACTGAGCATGAGAACCATCACCGTTTAATTTCAGTACGTTTTAACTGCCACAAAACGTCATTAGCGCTTCACTCTTTTAAAAATCGTGTCCGATTACACCCAGAAAGTTCCAGTACTTGCTAATATGCTTACACTTAGTAAATACCTGTGTCATGTAGAAGCAATATGCAGCAAAGGACCATTAAAATGTTTAGATATACTGACTCAGAAAAGTTAATATAGACTCAGTTGCCAATTTTCCATCCGACGAAGAAGCATAATTTCATGCTTTAATCTTTTTTTATTTTACGTTGCTCTGTTCAACTTAACTTTGCAGATATGGCATTTACGACATTTTTTAGCTCAAATCTACGGTCGAATTGCAGCGGAATATTCTAAGAAATACCGGAAGAACGTCATTTACCGTCCGCAGAATGGAAATTCTCTTTGTCAATGATTCAGTGTTCAACAATAGATTACTTTGAAAAAAACCCCTTTGTCCTCCTTGATTCCAGCAAAACGAGATTATGAATAAGCTACTGAATAATTATGTTTGGAATAAAAGGGATAATATGGTGGCTACGTCAGAAATATTACGACGTTGAGGCCAAGACTCTAATTGACACTAAGGATCTAAGCTGAGGTGCCACCAAATGATGTACAAATTGCTACAACGTGTTGTATTACATTTTCACGTTTAACTTCTTTTAGACCAGCTCTGGCTTCAAAGCTGTGTCAGATTTGTTAAACAAGCTGGATAAAAGTAAGGACGGGGAAGTTAAGCGCCCTCGGAAACCTTGCTGCAATTTATAGGGCGTCGCGCGCGTGCAGGACAGAAGGAAAGGAGAGGCCTCCTCTCCCCGTCACATGTCCCCTTCGCGAGCTCTGTCAAAACGAAACAATAAAACTAACAAACGCCTGTCACGCAGGATACGGTCTCCAGTAGACACATATAACCGATTGCAATTGATTTTAAACCTTTAAGTTAAAATGGGGCATGATGTATTAATAAAAAAGTAAGGACTCTGTTCCTTTCTTTGGACGACAAGATATTAATAGGACCAAACTGAGGCGCCAAAAATCTCAAGTTCTTTCTAGAAAAATGACTCATTTGGGTGGGATTATTTCTCAGTAAAACCGCAAGAATCCATAATTGTTATGTAAACGACAATGCAATCTTTGATTGGCTAATGTGTAAACCCCATGACTCATTGTCACATGGCTTACCTTGATACAAAAAAGGTTTTGAAGGGACGACAAGTTGACATGAGTTTTGGCTTAGCTTGGCTCTGCTGAGCGACAAATACAGAAGAGATAATATTTAACGGGCTGACAGAGCTTCAAGAGATTCTACTCTCAGAATGGCAATCTTCGGTTTCCACAAAGCCAAAATTGGTCGACATGGAAGACAGCCATGGTTCCGCAGTACAGTGGAACAAACACTGTAACCCGCCGCCAGAACAAAGTAGGATTCATCTGGAAATATATACTGTACGACGGCAATTTACCGGAACTCTGTGGAATTTATGAATGGCCAGCTATTCAACAGGACCAGCCAAATCGAGTCGTCTACGTTGGAATTGCACGTGCACACGTTGTGGCCATTATGAACCACTGGAAAGCAGAATCCTTGGGTACTGCAATCATGGTAATCATAAAGCAGCTCTGATAAATGCCGCGCATTAACAAAAGGATATACATTGGAGGTCCGTTATAAGCAAGCTTGGAATGAACAGCGAGCTAGAGAACTGGAGAATGAGCTGCTTGACATGTTTGATTACGCTTGGAATGAGAGGCGCAATGGCGGAAAACTAGGTGTAAGACTACTGCCAAACTGATAGGTGGTCATATAGTGTACGAAGATATAAGGGGGCCAACTAAAGGCTGTCAGAAAGTGACTCTAAAGGAACTTTTCATAGTTAAGATTGAAGTCTTCTTTAATACTTACGGCGACTTTCCTGCACCTATTTTTCTTTTCTTCTTTCCTTTTTAGAGGGCAGTGGAAAGATAATACGATAAGAATGCATGGATTCACTGTTTGTTTGTGGTGCCGCGCATTAATGTAACATGAAATAACAGCGGAGTTTTAATTATTAAATATATACACTGACGCAGCTTTCCTCCCTTGGCTAAGCTGACGGTTGTTAAACTAAATGAAGTGCGCCTCGCGATCTGAAAAATGTTAATTTCTCGGCTAACATTTAAGCCAAGATTAAGACGGGGATGAACTGACTAATTTCAGAAGTAAAGTCCTGGATATGACTATGGGTCGGAAAAAAGTAATTGTTGAGATCAACTAATACCGTATGATTGATGCCCACCTAGCTGTTATTTTGAGCACAGCAGAAGAGAGGAAGAAGAATATATAAGAATTATTCTATACCAATTTATTAGATTTAAAAAGTGTGGCCCTTCGATTCGAAGTTAAGGACGACTGAATGCTTTGATATGTACCTAATTTATAAAGCTTGGTGGATTTATGTTCCGGCCCCATTTGTTTGCGTTTTTGCATTGTTTATTTTGTGCGGTTGAACTTTCATTTTCTGTCTTTGACTGGAGTGAATGAGATGTTCATTTGTTTAGCTGTCGCTTAACTTCTCACAGAGACCGAGTATTTACACTGGAGTACAATAGATCACAAATGCGCGAGGCACGAAGCGTGGAGAAGCAGTCATTTAAATTTTAAGGGTTCACTGTTGTCAATCTACTACGGTTAAAGATTAGTTGATTGAATATGGATTAAGTTTTGAAAGGTGGAAGTGTTGTGTTGAAGTGTTCTGTTGAGATGCTGTTGTGTTGTTATACTGTGCAGTACTTTACTGATCCGCCCAAACCATCCGGGTGGTATCGCAAATATATAGAGAAAGAACAATAGGGGAGGTATCAGCCAATGAGGAAGGACTGACGTCATCAAATGTGACTTTTGTTTCTGTGAAACTCGATTTATTTAGTAGTAATTTGCAATTGAATGAGATGAAATGTGGGACAATGAAATTTTAAGAAGTATAGAATATGTTTCTTGCTGGCCGGCCGCTTAAACAATTTAAGATGTTCTTGCACGTGAAAAGATACAGTTTTGATTCTGATAAAGCCTCTTTCCTGATATAGGATCGCTACGGTCGAGAATAAAAAGGCTAGGATCAATTAACTATCGCAACGATTAACAAGACAACTGTTCAACGAACCGGAGCTTTCCAGTATCATTATTGGTGCGGTTGCCGACTATAGTTCAGATTGCTACTTTGTTCGGCGCCACTGATCTGAATGAAACCATTGCGCGTATCCAGGTTCATATCCTATAGGGATATTAACGAATGTGTCCGGACAACAACAATCAAGTTATTTAACTTAGCATAATTTAATTATACGGGCTGGAAATGACAAAAACCGTGCTGTGTTTGACTATTTCTGTTTTCGGGGCGTAAACACAAACCAATAGATTTTAGTCCCTTTGATCGTAAACTGCGAAACAAATCGGCGAGAGAAAGATTTTAAAAGTTTTACTAAATCCTACCGGTTCATGTAATCGACAAAATGTTGATTCGTTGCTTCTGTTTATATTCGTTGATATTGTTTCAAAAATTCTTTAAAACAAGCACAATTCCCACAAGTCATAGTGCCCTTCTTTTGTTCCAACAAACAATAACGATGCAAATCAGCACTGAAACAACGTAACCTGACGGCCGGGTTGTTTGCGAAGCTGGGTTTAAGATCTAACCCAGGGTTAGTGCGAAATTTGAACTCAGATATGATACCTTTAAATTCCGAAAATAAGCCCCGGGGCTTATATTTTTCAAATGCCCTTTTTGAGGGGCTTATTTTTGCCGAGAGGCTTATATTCGGAAGGGCTTATCTACGGAGGGAAATCTGCGTTTCAAAATCGATTGGGCTAGCCTTATAGTTGGAAGGAAATTTACCGTTTTTGTTTTGTTTTGCTTTGTATTTGAGGGCAATCTCCATTGAAAACACTTTTTAGGTTATCCAGCATACTTTTATTTCTCTAAAAATGAATTACAAGCGGCGCTATAAAATTTGTATCTGTTCGGTCATCCTACAGCCTGTACAGACGTCCCCCCTCCCTCAGAAAAAATTCGGGATTTTTTTCTGAGGGAGGAGGGACGTCTGTACACAGGCTAGTCATCCTAGGGGGAACTTGAGTCTTTTCATAATTACAGGGGCTTCAGTATTATTTTCCCGAAAAGTTTAGGTGCAGATTAACGTATTACGAACTCAAAGTAATAATTTGATTCTGATTCCTCTCTCCATGACATTTTAGAACCCGAAACTTTTAGGTTTTTCTTTTTTCAACGGAAAAAAGCCAAACCTGGGGAGTAAAATATGAAAAATTAAACTTACGAAAAACGTGTGGAATTTATTAAATCATTCGAAAGTTGTACATGAATGGAGCGGTCGTCAAGAAATTCTTAGCCGTCCTTAAGTAATAGGAAGTTCTAGGCAACTATTTGCTTCTACGAACAGATATTTTACGGAAAACAGTAGGTTGGGTGCAGCTATTAAGGTCCTTGGTGGTCGCAGTATGGAAGAGGAAATTTGTGCCTACTATAAGAAGCGTGCAGTTATACTAAGAATCACGGACAATGGGGTCAGAAAAAACTCTTCTCGGCCAGTTGCAGAGTGCAGTGGTTTACGTTGAGAGCACTTGCCCGCGAGACGCATATGATGAGGTATGCCTCAAATCGGAAAGTAGAATCATCAACTATTGCAAATAACGGAAACCGTAAAGCAGTTCCATAATAAATGGCGCATTGAGGAGATGACATGAACTGTGGGTCCGTTATAAGTCAGTTGGGAATGGCGCGGCATAGGCTCATCAGTAGGAGAATGAGCTGCTGACCATGTACGATGACCCTTGGAATGTATTCCCATAGAGACACAAGAGAAGTAACTGGAGACATTGAATGAATGGCTCATGGATTAACTTCTTTACTACATAGAACAAAACTTGTTCGTGCCAATCAGAAGACTAGAAAATGTTTTGCTTAGGTTACGTAGCTAGAGAACTGACTTAGCTAGAGAACTGATTAGAAGTTTCTGAGCGTTGCTGCGTGACTGTTTTTAATACAAATAAACAGTTTAGTGAATGTTGATTGCCCTTTTGTGCTTTTCTACTCACACCTTTAATATAAGCTCGATCTGACAAGTACAACCCCCTGCACTGCTTTTACTGCATTTCACAACACATTTGTAAGTAATAAGGTGCGAAGAGTCCGATACAAAGCGGCATAAAAAATAATGTTTAATCAATGAGCCGGAAACTGTAACCTTCCAAAAACTCTACTTTCGCCAGTTTTTGAAACCGACGAGAAGGTCTAATATCATTGTATTCAAGGAATCTGCGTTTTTGCGGGCGGCAAGAGGAGGTGGGGGACCCCATGTAGGATAGGTAAACCGCCTTGGTGGGGTAACCCGCCTGTCTATATAACATGTCATTTTAATTCGATCACGGGTTACATCTGATAGGTTGGGTGACCCGCCACATGTTACCACACCTATCTGGGGTCCCCCACCTCCATGTAAACATGCCCTTAGTCACTTGCCACACGTTGAAAGTTCGAGGAGAGCATCTTGAAAGAGAGCCCGACACAGAACGTTTACATTTTTGGCCATCAAAAGCGAACCGTTCTTGATATCTGGGTTACGTTGTTTGGGGTTTTTGATACTGGGATGAAAGTTTGAATTATAATCAGCTTTAACAAGTTCGGTGAACAAACAGAGAACAACGTAATTAAAATATTGCTCGTATCTGACCCTCATGATTTGAACCGCTTCTGACTGATCTTTTAAGACCTTTTAAGTCACCTTTATTCACCTCCAGAGACTCGGCTCTATACAATTTCCGCTGGAGCAGTTTAACTGGCAGCAAATTATTTTTAAAAAAATCGAATCCATATTTCTTGAAAACATTTATTGTCGTTCATAATTCATTCAACACAATATTTATTCCTAAGCGAGTAAAAAAACCCTCTTTCAGAAAATAATGTTTATCAATGAGACCTGCTCATGTAGTAATATATAGACCCCATTTACGATACCAGAACAATTACTTGGAAGAGTTTTTCCACCGTGTCCCAACTTTTTTTGAACTCTATTGAAGTAGTAATAGGATTACCTGCCCAAAAACAAAATCGCCAGCCTCTTCCTCAACATGGAAAAAAATAGTGGTCGGTCCCAAAATGCCTCGCGTTTTGGCTTTGTTCTTCGTATTCCTAGATCATCTTTTGAAGCATTTACGCATTAATCTGTTTGCCTTATGGTTCTTGAGGCAAAGAATAACTAGCAATTATTGGATGAAGCTGAGCATGATCTGCTGAATCCTTCAGATCTCCACGAAAACCGAATCCAATAACTGCTTTACTATCAATCAAAAATGATTTATACTTAAAACATTGCTTAGCTCATTCGAAATTCCTGTTTTTATCTCTCTGTTCGAAGGCAAATTTAGGACATAAAGAAGTGTTTATTGCAGCAGATATTTTTCAAATAGCATTTGTAATACATTGAGTTGTATTTTTGCTGTTGTTGCTATGTTTTTGGGTAAAAGGTTGGCTATTTCTTCTTCCAAAAAAGTGTAAAAATGTCAACCTTCTCCAGCTCCACCAAAAACAACGTAGCTAAACCTCTTCTTAACCAAAAACGTTAAGTGTTTCGCTTTATTGACGACACTTCAATTGAGCCTGACTTTATATCAATAAGTAACAAGTCACTAAGGCCACGAAAACTTCCACTGATGGTTTGCACCGCGATGTTCCAGTCACATTCTTGTATTTTTAGGACGTTCTGAAGAGCCTTAGTATTAAGCCTGACATCGACTAGAATAATCTTTCTGCTCAGTTTGCATTTTTACCTCAATGTAAGAAACTCATTGCTAGTATGTAATTTCGCATTTAAAACTAAAGGGCTATTTCTTAGAAAAACCGCAAGTTCTGACAATACTACCGTTAAATCTTAAGAAACCACAAACATTTTGATTGGCTAATTACGTATAAACTAATTTTTCACGTGGCATGGAAAGCCAATAGCAAGTTGTGGCGTTGTATATGAATCTCCCGCTGCAAATCACATACGTAAGTTAATGTTCTGTTTCAACCCACAACATTGCAGTCATAAGTCATCGGATCAGCCTAATATTCGCTGCTCCTGCTGAACACAGACCATTGTCATTGCAGAAGTTCTTTGGCCAACCATTATATAACGCTTCATTCCAACGAAGCTAGTCTTCGCAGCCTGTTACTCACGCAGACGTTATGTTTCAACCAAAGCCATTTAGAGAAAATAATGATCTCGTACGGCTTCAAGGCCAAGGTTCGTGCTCACAATAGAGGAGAGCAATGGTGCCTACGAGTCACGGTAGCTATACTGAGAATCGCGGACCAGGCCAACCAGGGTACATGTGGTCAAACATCAGAAATGAGTTAAACGGAGTGGAAGGATTCTGTGGAATCTATGAGTTTCAGGTTAGAGGAGGAACCCCGAGTGCAGTAGTTTACGTTGGAAGCACTTGCCCTCGCCAAGCAGATGGCGGACAATGCCGTAGATTGAAAAACAGGATCATCAACTACTGCAGACACGGAAACCATAAAGCAGGTCTAATAAACTACGCACTGAGCAGTGGATATGAGCTGTGGGTCCGTTATAAGCAAGCTAGGAGTGCAGAGGAAGCTCAAGCCTGGGAAAATACGCTGCTCGCCGCGTATGATTACGCTTGGAATGTTAGAAATAACGGCAACATAAGGGTCGTCCCATAGTGACACTGCCTGATCGGCAATGAAGCGGTAAACGGAGACATCCAATGATCTCATGGACTTAATTCGCCATTGAACAGAAAAGTGCTTATTTTTGTGCCAAACCAGTAGTACATGAAAATTTTTATAGCTTAACTTACGTATAGACTGAGCACGATAACAGTCATCATTTAATCTGAGTACTTTTAACTGCAGCCACTAATCGTCAGCGCTACACCCTTTAAAAAATCGTGTCCGATTACAGTCAATCAAAAAGAGATGACGACACAAGTTGCAACAGACCCAATACTTGCTTACATCCTTACAGTTAGTAAATACTTATTTCATGTAGACGCAGAAATGCAGAAGATGACTATTAAAATGTTTAAATTTATACAGTAAAGTGATGGATTCCAACTTTTAATTTTTAAAACTACTTTTGCCCGTTTTTAATCGACGAAAAAGTTTAATATTGTGTCTTAGGATTCTACTCGTTTTGGTTTTAAGTTGATGTCTTCAACTAAACTTTGCAGACATCGCATTTACGACATTTTTTAGCTCAAATCTACCGTTGAACTAAGTGCAGCGAATAATTCTAAGAAATACCGGAAGAACGTCATTTGCCGTTCCGAGAATTAAAAATCTCTTTGTCACTCACCCCTCAATGATTCAGCGTTCAACAATAGATTACTTTGAAGAAAACCCCTTTGTCCTCCTTGACTCGAGCAAAACGGGATTATGAACAAGCTACTGAATAATTATGTTTGGAATAAACGGAATAATATGGTGGCTGCGAGAGAAATATGACCATTACAACGTTGAGGCCAAGACTCTAATTGACACTAAGGATCTAAGCTGAGGTAGCCAACAAATGATGTATAAACTGCTACAACGTGTTATATTACATTTTTACGTTTAACTTCTTTTAAACCAGCTCTGGCTTTAAAGCTGTGTCAATTAAATCTATTAAACAAGCCAGAAAAAAGTAAGGACGGCGAAGCTAAGTATCCTCCGAAACCTTGCTGCAATTTATAGGACGGAAGAAGAAATTTGGAAGATGCGTTCGCGCGCACGAGAGGAGAAAAGGAGAGGCCTCCTCTCCCCTTCATGTCCCCTTCGCGCGCTCTATAAAAACGAAACAATAAAACTAACGAAAGCCTTCCACGCACGATAGGGTCTTCAATAGACGCATATAACAGATTGCAATTGATTTGAAACCTTTAGTTCAAATGGAGCATGATGTATTAAATAAGAAAGAAAGGACTCTGTTCCGTGGTTTGGACCACAAGATATTAATAGGACCAAACTGAGGCGCCAAAAAACTCAGGTTCTTTCTAGAAAAATGATTCATTTAGGTGGGATTATTTCTTAGAAAAACCGCAAGAATCCATAATTGTTATGTAAATGACAATGCAATCTCTGATTGGTTAATGTGTAAACCCCACTGACTCACTGTCACAAGACTTACTTTATTGCATAAAGGTATCATCGAAGGGACGACAAGTTGACATGAGTTTTGGCTTAGCTTGGCTCGACAAATACAGAAGAGATCATATTTAACAGACTGACAGAGCTTCAAGAGATTCTACACTCAGAATGGCTCAAGCTCAAAGAAGGGTAAGAGAAAACAGTAATCTTCAGTTTCCACAAAGCCAAAATTGGTCGGCATGGAAGACAGCCATGGTTCCGCTGTACGATCGAATAAACACTGTAAACCGCCACCAGAACCAAGTAGGATTCATCTGGAAATATATACTGCACGACGGCAATTTACCGGAACTCTGTGGAATTTATGAATGGCGAGCTATTCGACGGGACCAGCCAAATCGAGTCGTCTACGTTGGAAGCACGTGCACACGTTGTGGCAACAGTTATGAACCACTGCAAAGCAGAATCCTTGGGTATTGCAGTCATGGTAATCATAAAGAAGCTCTGATAAATGACGCATTAACAAAAGGATATACGCTGGAGGTCCGTTACAAGCAGGCTTGGAATGAACTGCTAGAAACCTGGAGAATGAGCTACTTGACATGTTTGATTACGCTTGGAATGAGAGGCGCAATGGCGGGAAACTTGGTATAAGACTATTGCCAATCTGATACGTGGTCATATAATGTACGAAGATATAAGAGGCTAACTAAAGGCTGTCAGGAAGTAACTCTAAAGGAACTTTCCTGCGCCTGTTTTTTTTTGCCTTTCCTTTTTTAGAGGACAGTAGAAAGATAATACGATAAGAATGGCTTCAGTGTATGTTTGTGAATATTTTATGTGTATTAGCAGCGGAGTTTTAATCACCGAATATATATGGTTAGGAATTATCTTTGAACATGTCAAATTTAGAGTGAATAGATTCACCAAATTCTGCTCCTCGTGTAATCGACATTTTATTTCTGAGCGAATGCACACGAGTAAACTTAGGAGGAACATTAACGTATTCGTTAATACGTGTGTTAGCCGATAATTAAGTGGATTGTGAGATTCTGTAACCTACAAAAAGTGTTGTTAGGTGAGTAGGCAGCCTACGGCAAAGCCCAGTCAAAAAAAGAGCGCCGCTTCCAGTGCAGAGATAAGACAATAGAAGACGGATCAAATTACCTTGCCCGTCTCCCCTCCCCTGCGTCAGTATAGGATTGAGGAAGAGAAATTTTGCTGAACACCAAACAGCACATTTTTCTCAAGTTCAATGATTATAGGGTTAGGAAAATAAGTGAATTGAATCCCATTTAGGAATTAGGATCCTTATACAAGCAATGTGAAACTTCAGAGTCCTTTATACTAGCATTCGGCGTTGTGCAAATACTCTTGACGCATCAAAAGACTTGTAGGTGTTCAAATCAAACAAGACGCTATGGGAGCTTAAGCTTCGGCGTCGTGGTTGTGAATTAATTGTGAATGCGGAGGAATAGTAAGAAATGATATTTTTCCGGATACCTTTCCATACAAATACCCTTACCTTTCTCATTTTGTGTAACAGACGTCTTAACTTCTTCACCGGAAGTCTGCCACGTGCATGACCGCGTGGCCCAATTCGATTTTAATTTGAGCCATAAATAAATGCGCACCACGAGATCTCAGTTCCACTTCCTTTATTTCCTCTACAACAACACTTTCCTTATGTACAGTTAAAACTCCACACCTTCTCCAGCAACGTAACTTAAACTAACATCAGTACACTCCCTTACAAAACTTGCTGAAAATGCACAATTTCCACACCGAGGATAATTCACGTACAGCATTTCAACATAAACTAGAAATACGTATCTCTCAATAACCCAAGCGCCACTCAAGTTAAGCCTTGTAGGGCCGGGTTAGGATCTGGATAGTTAACCCACCGCGAATATCGTCGTGGAGGTCCCTACTTTGTTCTTTCCTTTCTTCCTCTTCCTTTTTGCGTATTGTGTGGTTGTTGTGTTAGCATTTCAGAAAGAGGATAAACATACCTAACTTTCTACGTTTGGAATGAATCATACGAAGTTTAAAATTAAAGTTTTAAATGATTCAAGATTAATGTAACGCCTTCCCAGTTGTTTTGTTTAACACGTGACCCGGTCACGCGCATCCGGGTTTTCAGTTTTTTGTAAGCTCGACTAGAGAGCGGAGTGTTTTGGCAACGTCGCCCAACGCAGTTCTTTAGGCTTCGCACGAAGCATGTTGTAATAGCCATTACAGTCTTTGACGGTCCCTTCGGTCCGTTAACATCTTGTGAACCAGCATTAAACGGAACTAAGGATCTTGTTAGACGTTTTGGTCATTGTGGAGTGAACCTTTCAGAATTTCTGCAACGCATGTTGCCCTCGCGCCGCCTTCACCCAAAAGCGGTCGCTACAGTCAAAGACTCGTATTTACCTCAAGGAACTTTGAAGACTCCTGTTTAATCTGAGGAACTCCAACGAATTGTATTTACGCCGAGGAACTTTACCATGGATTCAGCAAAATTCGATGATAAACACGAGGATACCGGACTCGGGCTAACCTTCGTGTCGAGACCAGAGGAATTTCTCATCGAGAAGAGCGCAAAAAACACACCTCAAGCCCAGCTCACGAAGAAATCGTCGACTCAACAAAGACTGAGGTTAGCTCATCTGTTATTTTACCGGATAATGTGTCTTTACGTCCAAAAATAGAGGAAATTTCATCGATTACAAATGCCGACATTATTGTCGATTCGAGTAACACTAGGCCCAGGACCCTCACGGCCAAAGGGCGGGAATACAAATGTGGCTTGAAGAGAAGCGCTGCGATAGATAACGACCGTCAGTTTCGCTCTAAATTAGACACTTTTAAAGAGCAAATCCTCTCAGGCAAAGATCCTAAGGAAATTAAGGAAGATATTTCAGCTTTGATCAAGGAGTTAGACATTGTCTTACAAAGTTTTGACCAATGGATAGAGCTATCAGATGATTCGGATGAAACTCATCAGGCCACAAGTAAACAAGCTTATCTGCTTGACACATGGAAAGCAGTTCATGATACAGCCGTGAAAGAAATTGACAAATTACAAAATGATGCAGCCTCTATCACATCTCAAAGGTCCCACCGTTCACGAGTCTCGAAAGGGTCGGGATCAAGTAGAAGTTCTTGCAAGGAGACCCTGCTTGAATTTCGAGCTAAGAGAGCAGCCCTAGAAGAAACGTTGAAGTTTTCAGCAGTTATTGCCGAACAAAAACAGAAACTGGAACAGTTGAAAATACAAAAAGAACTTGGAGAAGTCACTGCACAAGAGCAAGTCTACCAAAAAGCAATGCAAGAAGAAAACTGTCTGCAGTCGCCTGCACTGCCGACAGAAACCTATGATCCAATTTCCACCTTTATTGCCAGCAATAATGCTGACGAATATACGTCTACACCGGGTGCGCCTGCTACAACGCTCTTTGACACTAGAACACCAGTGACTAAAGTGACAGTGACGTCATCGTCCACACCACTTGACGTTGTATCTGTATCTTTGAATCAAGGCCCTCAAAGATCAACCAATCGAATCTCACACTCTACCACTGCAACCACCTTCAGCTTAAGAGGACAAGCTCCTCCAGTTTACACATCGCCTGCGTGTACTATGTCCCAAATTGGACTCACACCTCCAAGAGGTTTTTGCGGAAATTTTCCAGCGTTTGTACCATCGTCATATACAGCCTACTCCCCTGCACCCCAAGATTATTCAGTGCAACTAACTGACACCCTAGCCAAGATCAGTCAGCTACAACGCCTCCCTCAAGCCACGCCAGATGTTTTTAAGGGTGATGAGACTGACAAGACTAAATTCTTCCTGTGGGAGAATTCTTTTGATAGTCTGATTGATTCAGCACCAGTGACAGCCCAACAGAAACTACACTTCTTGTACCAATATTTGGATGGCAAAGCCAAAAAGTGGTAGAGCAGCTTCAGTACTTAGTGCAGAACCCTGAAAGTGCGTATCAACAAGCCCGCACAATCCTCAAGGAACGTTTTGGCCACCCAGCAATAATCAGTACCAGTTTTCAGAAGAAATTAACAACCTGGCCAAAGGTGGGACCGAACGATGCAGCAGCCTTAGAAGAATTCAGTGACTTCCTTCAACAGGTGAAGATTGCAAGCGAACACATTTTGAGTCTCCAAGTCCTTAATTACCCGTCACAGATTCAAAGTCTTGTCGAAAAGCTGCCATCGTGGTTCAAGCCCAAATGGTCTGATAAAGTGCTGAAACTTCAGAAGAAAGAAGGCAAGGACACATTCCCTTCATTTGCAGACTTCGCTCAAAAAGTGCGTTACCACGCTGAGCGTGTCAACATACCTCAAATTGTTCAAGCTTCAGGTTCAAGTGGTACACCACAGACAGACCGTTTCAAACCTTTGAACCGCCAACCCCGCCTGCGTCCTCCAGCTGTTAATCTGACCTCCACTTCACCCCCAGTAACAATGGCGAGACAAATGCTAATCACGAAGAACCAATAGAAATCTCCAATGTGCTTTCAACCCATGCTCAGCAACCGGACACTACCAAAGCTACTGCGGCTAACACGTATTGCTTCTATCACAAGATGAAGTCTCATAGCATGAACGATTGCGAACAGTTTCAGAAATTAGGATACGAAGAACGCAGAGATTTCCTAATGAAAAACAAAGTCTGTCTCAAGTGTGTTAATTCCAACAAACATGTTGCCAGAGACTGCGAACAAGACAGGCTAGATTGCAAGATATGTCGACAGAAACATGCCACTGTACTGCATGACCCATCCAGGCACAAAGTGATTAATGCCAGTGAAGCGAGGTCTGCTTGCTCACGAGTCTGCAATCAAGGGCATTCTGCTCGTTCATGCGCTAGAATAGTTCTCGTCGAAGTCTTCCATCAAGACAACCCTTCAGCAAGGATGCTGACCTATGCAGTTCTGGATGACCAGTCAACAGATGTCTTCATCACAGACACTCTTCTCGACCAGTTGCAGGTCAAAGGCCAGGAAGTTAACCTCAATATCAGTACGATTGCGGGCGTGAACACTGTGCGTACTCAGAAAGTAAACGGATTGCACATCAAGGACACAGACAGTCGACACAATTCTATTAGGATTCCGTTTGCATACTCACAAGAGAAAATTCCAGCTAGCCATCAGGACATCGCCACGCCTAACATTGCCCAACTCTGGCCGCACCTTAAGGAGATCGCCCACCACATCCACTATCATCCCGGAGTAGAGATAGGATTGTTAATCGGTCGTAACATCCCATCTGCCTTTCAGCCATTACACGTTATATACGGCAAAGACAATGAGCCGTGGGCTGAAGAGTACAAGTTCGGCTGGACGATCATCGGTCCAGTTTGTCTAGACAACCAACAAGACAGTACGGCTTGTGCAACAGTTAACCGCATCACCGTACGACGAGAAGATTCTCACAACCTCTTCAATGTTCCAACGAGCAACAGTTCCAGAGAAGAGGCCGTAGCCTCTTTCGCTTCCAAACATCAATCTAAGGATGTCACTACGCCCCAGCAGATAAGAGAAATGATGCAATTGGATTACAGTGAACTACATCATAGCCGAACCATCCGAGGCACTGAGAACACCGAGTCTGTCGAGGACAGACGTTTCAATGATCTTCTTACCACA